GTATTTTATTAGCAGTAACAAATTTTATTGGACTGATTTCATATTAATCAATATATATAGGTGTTTAAAAAGATTAAAAATGGACAAGCGTTTACTAAGTTATTCGGCTCGAGCCTAGTTGTTTGGAATTCATATTTCTCCATCGGAGATTTACTGGGTTGTTTGGGGTATGACCAGGGGCGGCTCAGAAAAGGCCAAAAAATTTTTGGACCCTGTGTAAAAATTTTAACTTTTTAAAAAAAATGGTCTATATTTGCTAAAATCTAAAAGTTTGGATCCTTTTATATATAATTTTAATAAATTTTGGGTCCTAAATTACAATAAAAATTAACTAAAAAGATGGGTCATGTGCGGTTGCACAATTTGCACACCCTCGTAACTTTCCCTGGATATGACTAGCTTTGTGCCATTGTTTGTAGTTTTTGTTTATTATGTCTTTGTATCGCTGTAACAATTTAGAAATTGTATAAATCTTAATATTTTACCCAAAAACCTAGAAACCGTTGTAACTAAAAAAAAGGTAGAATCTGCGTGTATTTAAGTATAAATGTTTGGGCAGCAAATTACACTAATTAATACCTTACGAATAGTATGTTTGGACTATATAGTATCTACCAATGTTTTTTAAATTAAATTTAATTCATATACATTCAATTATACGTCAATTGTTCAACCACTTCATCAAAAGATTTAAAAGAAGGGGACGAGTTTGTCATATGAGAATGGGACACGCAATATTTAGAATACATATCAAATATTATATGTAGAATAAATACAAAACGATATGTCTATCCATATTGATAATTGAGTTGTATAAAGGATATTTATCAAAATGTTACATTTTTTCAAGAAGGCAACAAAGATAAAGGAGCAAAAAAAAAAGGTTAAGAATCGAAGTTTTTTTTTTTGAAATTTAAAAATCGATGTTTTTATGTATTCAATATTTACGAAACGAATTAAAAGATTGAATACATATATATATGAGACTTTCGAATTAAAGATTCTTTTGAGTATATTTATATATCATGTTCATACAAATAGGCACACCAACATTCGGACAATATATCATCATTG